TAGAACTGGAACCAGACAAGGTTGTCCTCTATCGCCACTACTATTCAACATACTGTTAGAAGTTCTAGCCAATACAATGAGGCAAGAGAAGGAAATAAAGGGCATCCAACTGGTGGCAAAGGAGATCAAACTCTCTCTCTTTGCTGATGATATGATCTTATATTTAGAGAACCCTAAAGACTCAACCACAAGACTCCTGAAAGTCATCAAAAAATACAGTCATGTTTCAGGATATAAAACCAATGTCTACAAATCAGTAGCCTTTTTATATGCCAATAACAGCCAAGATGAGAAGCTAATCAAGGACACAATTCCCTTCACAGTAGCTTCAAAAAAGAAAAAAGAAATACCTAGGAATATACCTAATAAAAGAGGTGAATGATCTCTACAAAGAAAATTACAAAATCCTAAGAAAAGAAATAACAGAAGATATTAACAAATGTAAGAACATACCATGCTCATAGCTGGATAGCTGGGAAGAATCAACATTAAAATGTCTATATTTCCCAAAGCAATCTACAGGTTCAATGCAATCACCATTAAAATACCAACATCGGGCAGTGCCTGTGGTTCAAAGGAGTAGGGCGCCAGCCCCATATGCTGGAGGTGGCAGGTTCAAACCCAACCCCAGCCAAAAAACTGCAAAAAAAAAAAAAAAATACCAACATCATACATTCAAGATTTGGAAAAAATAATTCTCTGTTTTGTATGGAACCAGAAAAAAACCCATATAGCCAAGGCAATTCTTAGTAATAGAAAGAAAGCTGGGACATTACCCTACCAGACTTTGGCTATATTACAAGGCCATAGTGATCAAAACAGCATGGTATTGGCACAAAAATAGAGACTCAGCCATTTAGAACTGCATAGAAAATCATGAGATGAAGCGAACATCTTAGAGTCACCTGATCTTTGATAAACCAAACAAGAACATAGACGGGGGGGGGGGAAGAATCCCTATTCAAATAATGGTGCTCAGAGAACTGGATAGCCACATGTATAAGACTGAAACTGGACCCGCAGCTTTCACCACTTACAAAAATTGATTCAAGATGGAGAAAAGATTTAAATCTAAAGCATGAAACAATAAAAATCCTTGAAGAAAATGTGGGGAAAACACTTGAAGATATCAGCCTGGGGAAAAATTTTATGAAGACGACTTCCATGGCAATTGCAACAACAAAAATAAACAAATGGCACCTAATTAAAGTGAAAAGCTTCTGTACAACTAAGAAGACAACAACCAAACCAAATAGACAATCTTGAGTATGGGGAAAGATATTCCTGTATCATGAATCAGACAAAGGCTTAATAATTAAGATTTACAAAAAACTCAAATTAATCAATAAAAAAAGAGCCAACAATCCCATGTACCACTGGGCAAGAGACATGAATAGAACCTTCTCTAAGGAAGACAGACAAATGGCTAACAAACACATGAAAAAATGCTCATCTTCCTTAATCATCAAAGAAATGCAAATCAAACCACCTAACCTAAAATTAGCCCACATCACAAAGTCCCAAAGCTACAAATGCTGGTGTGGATGTGGAGAAAGGGGAACACTTTTTCACTGTTGCTGGGACAGCAAACTCATACAGCCTCTTTGGAAAAAAATACGAAGAATCCTCAAAGATCTCAAATTAGATTTCCTATTTGATTCCACAATCCCACTACTCAACATCTACCCAGAAGAAAAAAAATCATTTTACCATAAGAACATTTGCACTAGATAGTTTACTGCAGCTCAATTTATAATCACCAGGAGGTGGAAACAACCTAAATGCCTATCAACTCAGGAATGGATTAACAAATTGTAAAAAATAAAAAAATAAAAAAATAAAAAATGCTCGGTGTCTGTGGCTCAAGTGGCTAAGCGGCCAGCCACATACACCTAAGGTGGTAGGTTCGAATCCAGCCCGGGACCACCAAAACAACAATGACAGCTGCAACCAAAAAATAGCCGGGTGTTGTGGCAGGTGCCTGTGGTCCCAGCTACTTGGGAGGCTGAGGCAGGAGACTCGCTTGAGCCCAGGAGTTGGAGGTTGCTGTGAGCTATGATGCCATGGCACTCTACCCAGGGGGACAGCTTGAGGCTCGGTCTCAAAAATAAATAAATAAATAAATAAAATAAAAATAAAAAAAAACAAATTGTGGTATATGTGCACCATGGAATACTATTCAGCCATAAAAAGATGGTGACTTCACATCTTTTGTAATATCTTGGTTGGAGTTGAAACACATTTTTCTTAGTAAAGTATCACAAGAATGGAAAAACAAATATCCAATGTATTCAATACTAATATGAAGCCAGTAGATGATCTAATGCATGCCCAAATAGGAGAAAAACTCATTTTAATTCAAGTTGGGGGGAGGGGTAATGAGAGAGGGGGATGAGGTTAGGGTGTTCTCACTGGATGAACATGGGAAGTGGAGGGAGTTGGCACACCTTTTGTGGGGGGGACATAACATAAGATGAACTCTAACTAATAAAACCAAATATTTTGACCTGGTTGCTTGTATCCTCACATTAACCTAAAATAAATTAAAAATTAATTAATTAATCAATTAAAGCTAAAAAACTGCAATACTAAAACTCTGCTGGTATGGACTACAACTAGAAGATCCTTCCTTATTTCAAGAAATGGAAATATAATTCATCAAACTGGTCACATTTTGCTGCACGAGAACAGATATTTGACTCTACCCCCAAAGTATAAACCCACTAGCGCAGTGGTTCTCAACCTTCCTAATGCCGCAGCACTTTAATACAGTTCCTGTGGGTCACAACCCACAGGTTGAGAACCGCTGCACTAGCATGAGCTTCTAAGGAAATATTAATACGGCACATTAATTTCAATAAAGGGAAAGACTATAACAAAACAAAAGTAACTCATTCTGCTCATTCCCTGAAATTAAAGTTTCGCTTTACATTTGTATTTGACAAACTCAATACAAATCCTAAAATTATCCAAAGTAGTTAGCTAACCAAATATCCAATTGGAATCATTAAAGGCTAATATATTCTTTTAAAGATAGTGCTTAGCACCAAGTTAAAAACAGATATACATTTACAACTTCTAGAAGCAGCATAAAACAGATACGAATGCAGAATATATAAATAAGCAAATAAACTGTATAGCAGAATCAAGAAATTATTGGCAGAAAAATAAAAATCAGATATATAAAGTAATCCCAAACGCCCATTAGAGAGGCTCTGCCATGGCAGGCTCAGAAGTGAATTAGCAAAGCCCAGTACCTTCCTGCTTCCCAGAGATCACTTCTGCCTGAGACTGTGAAAAGAGGAAGTCAAACTCCAGCGGTAAATCTTTCACTAAGTCAGCCAAGATAGCCAACTGCTTCCTGCAAGAAAGAACAAAAAAAATCCCAAAGTTAATCGTTAAGCTATCTTCTCATAAACTGCCTCAACTTGTCCTTTTATGACCCGACTGTTCATTCATATCATTCACTTGTCAAGCTCTGCTTCTTTTTGGTAACTCCTTTGATTTCAAAGGTTTAACATACCTCCAGGTATATAGCCACCTACATAAAAGACAATATGATAATAGTAATACTTCTCCTTTATGTAATATTATAATTCAAATAGTGTTAAAAGATGAGACCATGGTTCTGTGCCTCTCACAAGCTAAGTACAGATAAGCCACAGGAAATCGCAGCACAGTTTCACAATCTGTAATATAGATGCAATTATATTATTCCTAACTAAAGTGAGAAAAGATATTAAATTAAGGAACATAATCTTATCCTCAGATCTTACACAATACAGAAACAATACCTAATATTACCACACAAGAAGTACTGTTAGTTCCACAAGGTTTCTAAATATAATCCATTAAACAGCTAATAATTAACTATTTAATCTCCTTTTCCATATTTGAAGGGTTGATTTTTTTTTCTTTATAAAAATATTACCATTTGGGCTTGGTGCCCGGCCATATACACCTGGGCTGGTGGGTCTGAACCCAGCCCAGGCCTGCCAAACAACAATGACAACTACAACCAAAAAATAGCCGGGAGTTGTGGCAGGCACCCTGTGGCCCCAGACACTTGGGAGACTAAGGCAAGAGAATCGCTTAAGCAGAAGAGTTAGAGGTTGCTGTGATCTGTGACACCACAGTACTCTACCAGGGGTGATATGGTGAGACTCTGTCTCAAAAAAATAAAAATAAAAATAAAAAAATAAAAATATCACCATTTGAAAACCCCAGATTAGGATCAAAATCCAAAGGACATAACAACATTTCTTATTTGGGGATAACACTTGAAATTTGTTATCTATAATGTCGTCCTCTTTCCTCTGACATTTCAAGTATGTTGTCAATATCAGACAAAGAAAAGCAAAGAAACGAACCTGGAGTACAAATATAAATGTAGAGAAAATGTTAGTCAAAAACAAGACCACTCGGATCAGGAGTGACTGCTTAAGGAGAGACCACTCGCTTAAGCCCAGGAGTTAGAGATTGCAGTGAAGTATGATGATGCCACTACACTCAAGCCTCGGTGACAGAGTGAGACTCTGCCACAAGGAAATTAATAAACAAATAAGACCAATTATCTTGGATTTTTAAAATTATTCATTACAAAAATACTCTACTAGGTAGTTGTCAGCATGACTTAGCGAAGAATGTTTTTAGCATGTAAAAGCCAAGAACTACATTTGTAATAATATAATCTTCCAATTGAATGTCAAGTACAGTTTCTAAAAAAGTACATTGTTGTACATAATAAATTCTTGCAATAAGAATTTCAATGGAGAACAAGAGGGGCTATTATTCCCTCCCTATTGTGGGTCTGCTTCTAAGCTACCCCAAAAGAGGTCTTGTTGCTTTGGGTTACGAACGGGCATCAATATATGTTACAGTCTGGGATGTAAGTTACTAAAACAACCTTTCTAAAGGGCGGTTCAGGACCATGTTTCAAAATTTTAGATGTCTTTAACCTTTGATCCAGCTGTCACACTTTTACAAATTTATTCCAAGGAATCCTCCCGATTCCCTTTCTTATCAGATCTGAATACTGGTCTTGGTGGTTGTAAAAGGAAGAAAAGTAATACACTGAAGCTGACCTCACATTGTTGTAGTGTGGTATATATCATGTGGGCTAGTTTCAAACAAAGTTGAAAAAAAAAAAAAGAAAAAAAATTACAAATTTATTCCAAGGAAATCATCCAGAGAAGAATACAGAGAGAAATGCTGCAGCATTATTTGAAACAATGAAAGAACTAAAAATAACATAGTAATTAGATATATAATTTATGGCACAGCCATACAATGCAATACTATACAGATGTTAAAAGAAATGATCAGGGCAGCGCCTGTGGCTCAAGGAGTAGGACACCGGCCTCATATGCCAGGGGTGGTGGGTTGAAGCCCGGCCCCTGCCAAAACTGCAAAAAAAACAAAAAAAGAAAGAAATGAGGTCAAATGGGTACTCCTCAGCCATAAATAGTGAACCAACAGATTTTTCAAAACCCTGGGTGGCACTGGCGACCATTCTTCTAAGTGAAGTTTCACAAGAATGGAAAAACAAACACCATATGTACTCATTAATAAATTGGAACTAATCTATCAACCCCCATGAGCAAGCACATTCGGTAGTGAAAGTGAACACAGCAGAAAGAAAGGAGGTGGGAGGGGTAAATTCACACCTAACAGGTCCAGTGCACCCTGTATGTGTGAGAGGCACACTCATAACTTTGACTCAAAGAGTACACAAGCAATTCATGTAACTGAAACATCTGTACCCCATAGTATTCTGAAATATAAAAAATAACAACAAAAAAAGAATTGAGGTCAATTTATATCTATGTGCTGACATGAAAAGATGTCTAAAATATTTTGTGTAAAATATAATCCCATTTATGTTTAAAACTAAAACCCAAAAAACCTCTTAAACATTCTTCATTTTCTAAAATTCAATATTGTTTCTTTATTTTAAAACTTTAATGACAATAAATGTTGATAACTGTTGGAAGCTGGATGGTGGGTAAATGGGGATTTTATTGCACTGAGCTCTTTACTTTTACATACAGATATGCAAAATTTTCTAAAACAAAGATTATTCTTTTATTAGATACCTTATATTATCTTTGTAATTTTTATAAGTGCATTTCTTATAAAATTGAAGGGAGATGGAGGAAATAAAATCAGGTGATAGTAAATTCAAAATACAGTCCAGATGATTCAACTCTATTTTGAATATTACTCATAAATGCTAACAAATTAGCAAAGTGTTAATCATGTAAAACAGGTTCTTGTAGTGACAGTCACACTTACGTCAACAACTATCTTGGCCTTAGAAGCAGCAATGATTTCATAAGCCCAGAACAGATATATGCATCATTGAGAGAGGTGATCAAAAACAAGTTGAAAGAAGAAAATGCAAGTTTCTTTAAAAATTCTTAAAATATGGCTTGGTGCCTGTGGCTCAAGTGGCTAAGGCTCCAGCCACATACACCTAAGGTGGCAGGTTCGAATCCAGCCCGGGCCCGCCAAACAACAATGACGGCTGCAACCAAAAAAAATAGCCGGGCGTTGTGGCAGGGGCCTGTGGTCCCAGCTACTTAGGAGGCTAAGGCAGGAGACTTGCTTGAGCCCAGGAGTTGGAGGTTGCTGTGAGCTGTGATGCCACAGCACTCTACCCAGGGGGAATAGCTTGAGGCTCTGTCTCAAAATAAATAAATAAATAAATAATTTTTAAAAAATTCTTAAAATAAAATAAATATTAATATTCAGAGCCTCACACCGACAACTATCATCTTAGATAAATGGGGTGGAGCTACAGAGTGAGTTTTGTTTGGATGGAAGTTTCTTTAACAAACAGAGGAAATGCTAAATAGTGCCAGGAGGTGAGGCAACAGTCTTCCTTGCTCCTGACACACAAAAGGTAGCCAAACCACCAGTGGAGTTCCTCCGTCCAGCCCTGCTGTCAGCTCTGCCTTTTTGACCTCGAGTCAACTTTTTCTCTGGCCTTCCTCCCTTTTCTTTAGTTGTGAGACCTCAAAGGCCACTCAGTCTTTGTGATCTCCTGTGACATCTGCACTCTTCCCAGGGTTTCTAAAAATCAATGTCAATATTACCTATATCAAAAGCAAAAATTCTTTTAATTTAATTAATTAATTAATTTATTTTGAAACAGAGTCTCAAGCTGTCACCCTGGGTAGAGTACTGTGGTGTCATAGTTCACAGCAACCTCCAACTCCAGCTGAAGCAATCCTCTTGCCTCAATTTTTTTCTGTTTTTAGTAGAGAGGGTCTCACTTTCTGACTGGTCTCAAACTCATGAGCTCAAGCAATCCACCCACCTTGGCCTCCCAGAGTGTTAGGATTACAGGTGTGAGCCACCGCACCCCACACCAAAGCAAAAATTCTCAATTGTATACACAGTATGATTACAACTTTGGAGAAATTATATATAAATGGACAGAAAGGAATGCAACAAAATGACACAGTTTTAACAAGATAGTGGGATGATAAATTCTTGGTTATTTTTTTAAATTGAGACAGAGTTTCACTTTGTCAACCTTGGGAGAGTGCCGTAGCGTCATAGCTCACAGCAACCTCAAACTCTTAGGCTCAAGCGATTCTCTTGCCTCAGCCTCCCCAGTAGCTGGGACTACAGGCATCCACCACGATGCCTGGCTATTTTGTTTGTTTGTTTGTTTGCCTGTTTAGCAGGCCAGGGCCAGGTTTAAATCTACCAGCCTCAAAGCATGTGGCTAGAGCCCTAACCACTAAGTTACAGGCATCCAGCCGTATTGTAAGTTTTATTGTTTTTTTTTAATGAGGTAAGGTTATAGCAGTAACAGCTAAAGTTTGGTTTGAAAAATAAGTAAAAACAAAAGTTTTGAAAAAACAAAATATACGGGGAGATAAACAAAGAAATACAAGGCTTCTCATATTGACAAATGGCTATATAAGTAATCTGCTTCAGGACAGTAAGCCAGATAGTAAACCAGTAACTATGTGTCTCAATAGAAGGAAAGAAGGCCACTGAAAGAAGCATCGATGTGTAAGTCTGCCATTAGGAGTAGAGCCTTACGTGTATGACTGAGGGTTTTGCTGGGTTGTTATTTTAAGGAAAGAAAGTCTAAGTATAAAAATTAAACTCTGTAGGAAAAAAGACTGTTTACAAAGGAAAATACTTAAGCTAATAAAAAATACTAGATGCCTATGAGACTATGAACATTCCAGGAAGATGAATTCTAAATTTAAGATTGGCAACGGTCTTAATAATATGACATCAAGAGCACAAACAACAAAAACAAAAAATAAACAAATGGGAATTTATCAACCTAAAAAGCTTCTGCACAGCCAAAGAAACAATCAACAGAATGAAAAGGCAAGCTACAAGGGATAAAATATTTGCAAACCGTATAATTGATAGGGTGTTAGTCTTTAAGACATATAAGAAACTACTACAACTCAAATGCTAAGAAACTAATAACCTGGTTTAAAAATGGGCTAAGGGTGAGGCATGGCAGCTCATACATGTCATCTTAGCACTTTGGAAAACTGAGGCTGAAGGATCACTTGAGCTCACAAGTTCAAGGCTATAGTGGGCTATGATTGTACCACTACATTCCAGCCTGGGCAACAGAGTAAGACCCTGTCTCTAAAAAAATAAAAAGGCTAAGGACTTGAATAAACATGTCTCCAAAGATATACACATGACCAACAGGTATATGAATATTACTAGACCTCAGGGAAATGTAAGTCAAAACCACAATGAGATATTACTTCACACCTGTCAGGATGGCTGTTATCCAAAACACAAAAAACAAGTATTGGCAAGAAGTATGGAGAAATTGAAATCCCTGACTATTGTTGGTAGAAATGTAAAATGGTGCAGCAGTTATGGAAACAGAATAGAGGTTCCTCAAAAAATTAAAAACAGAACTATCATATATTCAGCAATCCTACTTCTGGCTGATTATCCAAAAGAATTGAAATCAGGATTTCAAAAAGATACTAGCAATCCCATGTACACTACAACATTGTTCACAATAGTTAAGAAGTGGAAACAACCTAAATGTCCATTAATTTTTGAAGGGGTAAGGAAATTGAGGGTATATGCAGACAATGGAATATTATTCATACTTAAAAAAAGAAGGAAAGTCTGCAATATATGACAGCCAGGATGAACACTGAGGACAGTTTGCTAAAAGAAATCAATGGGCGTAACATTTCAGTTAAGCAAGATGAATAAGCTCTGAAGACCTGCTTGCTATAACAACATTGTACACGTAGTCTACAGTAACGTATTATGCACTTAAAAACTTGTTAATGGGGTAGATCTCATTTAAGTCTTCTTACGGAGCTCATTCCTACCTCACGCCCAAAGTAAGTGTAGAGGGATCAGAGAAGTGTTAAAGGAGGGAAATCACAAACAAGGAAGCGTCTGCCCTAACTACGGCCTCTTTCTCCTTTTCCCCCTCCTCCTCCTCTTAGACAGGAAGAGGGATCAGGTCGAAAGATGTTTGGCTGAACTGCTGAAGTCAAGTGGAAAAGACTTCATTGCCTAGGGCTGAGAAAAGTGGTGTAAAGCAATGGAGATGGATCTTTGCAGAAGGAGCAAGAGGGCGGCATTCCCCAGTTATCCCAGGGACCCAGGCAGAGTTATAGGGAAGGCAGTGCTCTTACTAGAGCTCTCCCGTTAGCCCCTAGCTATCACGGTCCTTGGGTGACTCTTCTAACTATGTTTCTGTAATTATGTTCTCTCTCTTAATGCCTCATAATCCAATTTTATCACCATCACCACCACTTCCAACTCTCAATCCAAACTAAGAATCACTATAGTTTTCAGGTAGATATTAATCCCAAAGAAGCAAATTATATGAATAACTGTTCAATAACTTGGGTAAAGGCGTGGCTCTGCCCTATTTCTGGGCAAAGAATCTTTTAGCAATATTTGGGAACTCGGCCTGGTACACCAATACCCCACCTCCAGACCAGGGAACCACAGAGAACAATGTGTAGCATAGGCCTTTCAATACCGTCTGTTTTCCTATTTCTCAGACCCTGCTCCTCACCTCTCAGGGAGAAGCCTCATGCCCGCTGTGCACAGGATATAAAGGGGGGTCTCCTTATGCTTCTTCACAGGCACGTGAGCAGCAGCA